CTGCAGATATTTCTTTTATTAACTTTCCATTTTTAAATTATATGGAATTCTGAAAATTCAGTTAGGCAAATCTCATCTGGTGCACATTTTGTAATAGTAATAATGGGAAATTCTGAAAATTCATGCTGTTGCTACTTTAAGTTAATAGATGTTAATTGGAAGGGAGAAGTGGTAAGAAAATATAGTTAGTGAAAGGAAATAATGACCTTTTGTAAAAAGGGTCCCTCACTTGATATAATATTACTGTATTATAAATCAGTATCTCACTTTTGCACATTGTGTCCTTAAATAGAAGCATCATTCATGAAAATAATTCATTTCAGAATTATTAACCACAGTGGGCTTCCTAGAGGTTGACTACTAGTCACTTGCCTTAATTTATTCAATACAACTTAAGCTAATAAGGAAAAATGCATTTTACTTCATACCTTTTTTGAAAGTCTTGAATATTCTAGCCTGCTGGCCTCTTCCCTTGTAATCTGTTTTGCTTGCGCAGGTTGTGTACGACCATCCTCCTCTTCTATCTTTGTGCACGTGCTCGACGACTTACAATTTGTAATAGCCATTAAGTTTCGCAATATGTTGCCTATAACTGTGATGTAATGTACTAATACATTATATTTGTTCACAATCACAAAGACAAGATGTCAACATGTTTGTAAAGCTGTCTTGGAAAGATAACTTAAAGGTTTAAGGTGTGATACTGGTAAATGCAAAGTGGTGCTGAGAAAAACATTGCTTGGCCAGGTTTATTTTGAAGGCATAGTACTGTGTACTTAAAAGCAACTATGTCTGCATGGTGTTTCAGCTTCTTTTCTTACACTGTAGTTTAGCAGAGCACAAAGGTAGGAGAGTGAAGACTTGAAAAGGAAATGAATTTTTTTTTTTTTTTTCTGGTCAGGCATGACATAAGTAAACATTTTGAAATAACAATATATAAATCCCCAAGCAGCTATTATTTTCTGAAGTACCTTTGTTATGATTTCATTTTTTCTTAATAGCCGTTGTTTCAGACTTCACTTCTTGTAGGCTTCATTTTTATGGGGACATGTTGGGTTTTTGATTATACTTCAGGGAAGGAAAAAGATGAACTCTTTGAAGGTCGCGGTGAATGACTGAGTATAGGAAAAAGACTGTTTTCTAACCGTAACTCTGTGATTTTTGCTATTATTTGGGGCACTGTTGTCTCTTAACATTAGCAGGTAGTGCCCATTCCCTGTGAGTCTGGGGTAATGTTTTTGGCCCTAGCGTTGTTCGCACATTAATCCCCAACCACTCTTTGTTTTCTACTGATATTCATCTCTTACCTTGCGTAACCATCCACCTGTGGTGGCTTTGGTCTGAAGCCATTGCACTGAGTCTATTACCCATTGAGTGCATACTTTTGATTTAATTGGGAATTAACTGTGTGACAGATGCACGTAAGTAAGGATCACGGCAAGTGTTTTGACTGTGTGTATGTAAAAGAGCGCTGAGTAAATATTCAGCTGTATGCTCTTGCTTGGGTCCTGCTGTCACTAGCTCGCTAGAAGGTCTTTGCAAAAGATAAAATCAAAGGTGTTCTCTATTAAAGTTTCAGTGCTCTTCGATGACAAAAAGAAAAGAAATGCCTCATTGTGTCTTTCAGCCATTTTTCAGTATCTGTTTCCAAAGAATGGTGAGAAAAATAGTAATTATGAAATAAAGTTTGAGTTTTCATTTGCAACGGTGTTTCTTAATGAACACTGTTGCATTCCTAGGACCTTTCCCAAAGGTCTATAGGAGCTGTTTAGTGTACTGTATGCAGAATTGCTTTCCCATTCTCTTTCTCTGGAGAGCTTGCTTGGTACCATCTCGTTGAAGAGTGCCCTTTGTTTATGCGACTTGCTTAGCCTCTCTGAACAGGATCTATCACAAACTTTATCCATCTAAATCAGTACTGCTGCATTCCCTCCTCCTCAGTGTGAATCTTTATCCAGTTCCATGCAGAGCTGATGGAGCTCGCTAATCGGAGGGGGAGTTAACTCTTTTAGTAGGTTGGCCTTCTGTCAGGTTTCCGGGTTGGACTGGCTCCCCTCAAAGCCAAACACCAGACTGGCTGTGCTGGTCTGAAGGAGGCAGAGGGTGGCAAAATTGCAGCCGCTCCCCTTCATTCACATTGGCTTCAACTTGTTGCAATGCTGTATGCCCTCAGTTCCCTTGTGCCAGCTTTGGTAAGGTGTGCTTTCATTTGTCGCTCTGTCTTCAGACAGTACTTCTTTTAGGTTAATGTTGTAAAGTGTTATGAAGATAGCCGTATATTCTCTGCCAGTGATACTTTGAGCTGTGCCTTCAAATGGTACATGATTGGTTTTGATGTTTATGTTATTGAACTGAAAATACACACCATTAGAGTAGCTGATCAGCTGAGGAGTCTGTTCATCAACCAAAAGATCATTCGAGTTGTGCTCTTTAAAAAACTAGTAAGTTCTTTTCATAGTATGTGTATCTTTACTACATGTTACTGTACATTCAAAAGAGCTCAGTTGTTCATGGACTTGCAGCAGTATCTCAGCCCTAATGTTAGTACTAGCTTTTAGTACGTACTCAGTTCAGAAACTCCTGAAGTGTAGAGCATATTGAGGTTTGGAATTGACCCTTCTCACAACTGTTGTTGCATATAAAAAGCTGTTGTTTAAAAAACAAAACAAAAACCAAAACAACAAAAAAACCCAAACTGCCAGTTTGTTTATATCTTGACTTCACACTTTTTACATAATTTTGGAAGAATTTGAGTGTTGGCGAAATGTTCCCCTGGCACCTCTTGATGGGGAAAAAAGGATGTTTCACAGTCATTATAGTATTGGGTTTGAGCTTTGAGTTCAGCTCTCCATTATTTTAAGTGATATGTTGAATGTCAGTGTAACCTTAGTAAAGAGTAGTATCAGGATGTAGAGCCAGTCTTTGAAGTGTGTTTAGAGAATCCTGGAGATGTATTGATTTAGCTGTAGAATTAAGATTGTGTTAAGGCCTACGTAAAATAACTTCATTTGGGTGTTAACATTCATGAAGGTTTAAACAAATTGTGAAGGGAAAAAACAGTGTGACTTTCTGACTATAGATAAAAACTGATCTGATGTTTTCTAAGTACATGTCTTTTTGAACAACTGTTGGGTGTAATGAGAGGAAGAGAGAGAAAATGGAACGATTAATGCACCATATGTACAAAACAAAAAATACAATCTGTAGGTGTTATACTGAACAAGAATTTATTTTAGTCCTATCTATCTTTCTTATGTAGATAGCATTTACACATTTGTATTGCATTTTGAAAGGCTTGTGCCCAGTAATGGATACTTGCTGGTTTTTGTTGTTGATGTTTTTTCTTTTAAGCTGAAAAAAAAAATGTATATATATTAGGTCTTTGTATCTTTTGGAAACCTTTCCTTTCTTGCAGAAAATATTATATCTTTCTGCACGGTTTAACCCTATATATGTATATGGTGTGATTTGAAATCCCTCAATTATCAAGCAACAAAATTACACTACATCTTAATGATTTGGGGTTGTTTCTTTTCTAGAAGAAATAAGCAGCTTCCCCTTCAAATCTTGCTAGGACAGCAGCTGCAGATGAGAGTGAGCTTCCATATTTAACACGTTCTATTAACTTCACCCATACAAACACACACTCCCTCACTCACGCACCCCAGTGTCACATTATAGGTGAACAGGCCCTAATTAAAAGCATGCACCATCTGCCCGTGTGCGGCAGCAGGGTGGCACTCCATAACCATCCTGATTCCTGGGATTGAAATGTATTATTTATGAGCTCAAAGAGAAAATACGCCGCTTGGCTGGTGGAGGCTGCATTAGGAGCTGGATAGCACCATCTAACGGTACAGGGTGCTGCTGGCGATTCATCTTTCCTCTTCTTCCTTTCCCCTCCTCAGTCTCCTCCCCCAATATTTTTATTTTTCAGCATCATCTTTCGAGTTTTTTATGATCATGTTTCAGACGATTTTGTGCTCATGTTTCACTTTTATACAAGATTGAAAATGGTTGTTGAAATATTATACTATTTGTGATGTTTCCAGCAGCTTTTTTTTTTTCTGCCAGTGCCACACGTAGGGTTTTACTTTCTGTAGTAAAAATGATACTGATGTGATGTGCTGGTAGAGAAGTGGGACATTATCAAGATAGCTGAGCAGGATCAGTTTACCGCCATTTCTCCTTCCCTTCCCAAGCATGCGTGTAATGAAAGTATCTACTGCTCAGACTGAAAAGTTTATTTTAATATTGAAATTGGCCCTGTTTTTTATTAGGCAGTACACTACAGACTGCATAAAGGTTGTTTACTGGGTTGAAGAGAAAGTGGAGGGATTTGGAGATAGCTGCAGCTTTGGGCCTTCCTCTCTGAAAGCAGAGATCATAACCTCTTTCTACTTGCAGAGATCATGTCCTGTTGTTGCTTCTTAGTGAGAAAATGGATGAAGAGGTGTTGGACTGAGGGGTGAAATATACTTTAACAGGAAAGGAAAAAGGTGATAGGGCAGGAGCCCTTTTTGTTACGTTTGGTCCATCAGTCTACCTTTGACTGCTAGATTACAAAGTCAGAACTAGTAATAACATTTAATGTATTTGGTGGTTAGCTCAAGGACCTTCAGAGTATGCAGAATAAGAGTAGTCACACTGATTCAAAATAATTTGCAGGATGATTTTTTGGTTCTTAGGCTTTTTGTTACGTTCTTGAGCTTTGCAGTATCCATGCTGGGCATCCAGTGGTATGTGTACAGCAATAGCAAGCAGTAAGGACTGGACTGATACTTGAAACATGAAATTTTTCTACAATAACGTCCAGTAAAACCACTTTTTTAAATTAAAGAATCTGGTCACTGTTTCAACTCAGGCAGGACAAGACTTTGAATGAAAAGATGTATGTATAGAACTGGGCAAGATATATATGTGTATTTATGTGTTTGTTTAAAATCACCATGTTTTAAAGAATGTTGAAATGTCATAAACTGTGGCACATCTCTGAATACATGTCGTCTTGTTGTTTGTTTAGAATGTATGCCATCAGAAGGATAAGAGACGCCTTCAGAGAAAACAAGAATATAAAAGATTCTGAAAAAATAGAAGAATTAGTGAATAAAGCCAAAGCAAACCTAGAGGTTATTCATCGGCAGGTATGTTTATTTCTCTCATTTTATCTAAGAGTTGTACACGCCTCAGTTAACTGTCTTATGCCACTACAGATGGAAAAAACAGATCCTTGCTCAAAACATCTCTAGATGAACGGTAGTTTTTGTATGTCTGAGTTTGAGAGAGTGGGAAATGTCTGTTTATCCACAATGGTTGCAATGGGGGATTTAGGGATGTTTGGTCCATTAACTGGAATGGGCCTTGCTGTCAGAATATGCTCTTCCGTTACCTTTTCTGCTGTTTGTTTTAATATCTCTTTACTCCTCTTCTCTCTTCTGCCCGTATTTTCCTCTGAATCTGTTCCCTCTAGCTCATGTGTGTTAGATTCTTTTCCTCATGCTTTCTTCCTTCCCTCATAGGTTTATAAGAGTGGCTATCACACTCGCTCCAAATAGTCTTGCCTTCTGTGTTTATTTTTCGCCACCTCCAGATACAGTGTTAAAACAGTAGCAAACCAGGAAAATCCTGAAATGAAATAAGTAAATGCTGGCTAAATGTGTCCAAGCGGGGTGATAGATTTTTATCTTTGGAAAAAGTTGATTCACTGGCAATATTTTTCTCTGACCTTGTCTGAGTAGCATTTATAAGCATCTTTGTTCCTTCCACTGGGTACCATATTATTTAGACATGGATTATACTTCGTTGAACTTCAGATACTTTATTACTTCTTATACATACCCACTGTCTGTCTACAGTGACCAATGGAAATTTGAAGAAAGCAAGCTGCTGCACCTGAACTCTCTAAGGCTGCTTGCAATCCTTAAGCTGTCCCTCCTTGCAAAATCTGCACTTACTGACACCAGTCAGAGCTCAGTAGTACTTTTATTAAATATCAAATGAATATGTGTGCCTATTCCTCCATGGTCTGTTCTAACATGAATCTTTTAACAACCAGCAGGTCAGTTAGCTGGATTCTTATTTCAGTAGGAAGCTGAGCCCTTTGATTTGGCAATTAAGTATGAATATTTTGTGCAAGTTAAATTATTTCTTTGGCATTTCTTCTCCCAGGAACAGGTGTTGTTTTGTGCTACCATAGCTTTGCTAGCTTTTTTTACAAAAATAGCAGTGTTTGGGTTATTTTAAAAGTGTTTCTCAGAGAAGCAATTCAGATTGAATTGATTCAATGCAATTATATTTAAATGAGTAGCCTTTTCAGCTCTTTTTGAGGTTTTATCTTGGAGAACTTTGATAACCAATATTTTCCGGGGAGATATTAGAGGCTGGAGAAGACAATGAAGGAGAGGGTGTCACAGGTCAGAGATCACTCAGACAGATCTGAGCTTAATAGTTTATTGAGTTCTAATAAATAGATTTAGGTATATAAAGTATTTAATAAGTACAGATGTATTGGTGGTCAATACTCTACTACTAACTTAAAGTTAGTATGGGATACAAAGATTATCATGTAAGCTTATGATATGTATCTTAAATATTACATGCATGCAAAAAATGTCACTTAACCAACCCATCAGTGTCAGGTAAGGGATCTGCCAGCCTTGAGGGGTAACCTTGAGAGGTGTCCCTGCTCAAGGGGAGAGTGCCACACAGCCAGCTGCTGTGGAGGGAGAGCTCAACAGACCCTGATGCCTGCAGATATTTACAGCATAATGTGGTTGATTTGTAGTCAGATTTTCTGCTGTGTTAATGCAGTTTTGGCCACTTATCAGCCCAGTCTCCAGCCAAACCAATTTTTCTTTGAGTTTGGTGCTGAGTTTTCACTGATAGCTCCACACAATAGGACTAACTTTGGTTAGGCCTGCTTCCTGAGCATCTGGCTGGATGAAAATTCAGTTAGTTCAAACAGGACATCTGTCACCGGGGGTGGCAAAAGATAAATTCTGCCACTTACAGAAGTCTGCATCAAAGAAGTAACAATTTGTGGACTTGGGATCTCCCTTAGTAAAATGCTACAGAAAATCTCTTCTAGATTGTGGCTAAGATAAATTCCTGTCAGCACCTCAGAAAATGCTCTGTGATGGATCTAAGAATGTAAACATTGTATCTTTGATAAATCAGGAAAACAGTAGTGAGGCTACCACAGTAACTGTTTTGCCATGAAATGGATGACTGAAGTGCACTAAATGTATTTTGGTTTAAAATATCTTAACTAGAACCTACTTGGCACAACTCTTTTATAATAGCAAGTACTTCCTTTTTCTGAAAAGAGTTCGGTTTCAAGGTACCAAAGCACTTGAAATAGGTGGGAAATATTGTTCCCACTTTATAGGTATGTATCTGGGATGCTGAAATGAGGATGTCAATTTGTAGTATCTTAATTTTGGGGTACCTTGACTTGATGTGGGCAGGATTTGGCTCTCACTGGTTCTGTAAGCCTAAGAACTAAGGCACTTCTAAGTCAGATAGTGGATAAGTCTTGCTAAAATAAAAGCTTTCCAGCTTTTCTTTTGACAAAACATGGTTCTACTGACTCATCTGAGCCATAATTTTAAAATAAAACTCCTCTCTCCTGTCTGAGTCCTGTGAACACCCAGATTACCTGTTACTGTAGACCCTGAAAAAAGATACCGTTTCTCTAAAACAGACTCTTGACAGGGCAGACTCTTTTCCTCCTAGAGTGTAGGTTTTGTCTTGCACCTTTTATGAAGATTCCTTTTAGCCTAAAGATTGTCCCTTAGCATCAGACAGGTGTTTCAGCTGCCTTGGAAAGAGTAGGAAGAGCAGGCAGGCTTGGTTAATCTGACTGGTACACCTGCTCACTCTCCTTTGTCAAGGAGTAGTAGGGCTTAAGGATGTTTTGCATTCATTGGTTGCTAGTGAACATTTTGTTCATACATCAACATATACATAAGGCTGTGTGTAAACAAGTATCTCTAACAAGCCTGTACATGAACAATAGGTAACTGTTTCATATAGTGGCCTGTATTTTGCACTGGTAAAAATGTTGTGCTTTTAATTATCCATCGAAGAAAATGACAACAATAAAAGGTTAGACAGGATTTGTTATTTTCTCTTAGCGTGGATTCCGCTTTTTTCATTACACCAGCAGAACCATTTTAATCTGCTGCTTTGTAGTAATGGCAAAGAAATTTTGTAAGAAATCTTTTTTGACTCAAGATTGAGAGAAGTCATTGAGAGCCACATTTCACTCTACCACGTAATACATAAATCTTGCTTTATAATGTTTTATATGTAGGTGGGAATTTTTCCGCCAGGAAGATGTTCAGAAGCAAAAAGGGTGTGTAGGGTTCTAGTTCCCTGGAACAGCACTGCTTGAATTTTCAGAATATGAAAATCTCTCCACGTATGTTTCAATTTTGCAGGCATAGAAAACTGATGTTTAATACAAATATCTTAAATATATTATAATCAAACTGTTGTCAAGCAAACTACATTAAGTACCTATCTTTCCATTATGCGTTTGTTGCTCAGAGGGTATCTTTGTCACTGGGACATACTAGAATAATGGCCTCAGTTTGTGCTAAACCTGCAGGGTTTTGCTTGTTTGTTTGATGTTTCAAATCTCATCTATTTAAGGAGTTTCTCCCACATGCGAAACCAATCTATTAAAGCTAAAGTAGTTTTAAATTGGATCACATTTTGGTATCGTTCCATGTAAGAATTTCAGGAAAAATACACTTGAAAAGTAAGGAATATTGCAGAGTCTGACACAACTTCCCATGTCTAACACTACTTAAAACTTATGTTGAAGTATCTCTTACATGTCATACTTCTAGAAATTTTCCAAGCAAACTATAATCATACCGCATTCAGTTTTGGAAGGGTATATGTGTTTAACTTACATATTTGCAGGAGAAACAGACAGTAACACACATAGTAACATAATAGGCAATAGACCTTCTTAACAGAAGATAATCTGATAAAAGAAAATTAGTTTATCAAGATAATTTTTTGACACATGAGTCCCTGCAAGACTTGATGTTTGGGTAATAAGGATTATTTTTTTCTGAGTAATTCCCCTTCCCCCACTCCCCCTCAAAAAAAATTGAAAAAGTTTTTTCTAAATAATTAAGAACTGTTATTCTTTGCAGAATTTCTGTTATGTTTCAGTGTCATCTCACTTTCAGCTGTAAAGCAAGAGATAAATATTGGAAAAATAGCAACGCTGTCCTAAAAGTAAGCTTTTCATCAGGACTATTAAAAACCTTAGCATCTAAATTCACATTAATATTTACTTGCTGTCAAATTTGATCATGCTCTGTGGAAAAAAATTCATTCTTGCTCTGTGTTTAATTGAAAAATCTAAGTAATTAAGTCATCTGACATTATTAAGACTTTATATTATGCTTAGTTAGTTTTAAATATAAAGTGCTTTTACTTTTAAATGCAGAAGCACTGAAGCAAACGTGAGATCTAGCGTATATTTTTTTGCTAAGTTTGGGGTTTATTATGATGTAGTGCAGCTTGGTATTGCTGACTTTTTCATAGCATGTCGATAGAAATTAAATAATATCCCACTTTGCTGACAATTTGTTGTTACTCTAAAATCAAATTTATACTCACTTTACATTCTAATTTATGGTTTAGTCATCAAAGTGACCATTGGAGTGTAAGGTTCATAAATAACTACTTGAATCAGCCTAGTGGGAAATGTGAAATAGTGACAGATTACTGTCATTTGGTTCATGTCAGTCACTGTACAATTGCTCGAATGTTATAAAAGTAGCTTTATAAAGCTGAAAAGCATGGAGGAACATTAATCTCTGCCTTAGTCCTCCTCTGCTTGTTACTGGTTTCAATTTAAAAATAGTCTGGCTAAAGGAGGGAACAACTCTGATTCTTTATTCAACACTATTTGTGAAATTTTTGTGTGTGTGTTTACTGTGTAAGCAGTACAATTTGTGGTGTCTTCCCTGTAAAGAAGGATGTTGTGAGAAATGTGTTGTCACAAGTTTGAAATAGAAAGTTTTAAAAAGTTTTGAGCTAAGTCTTGAGGTCCTTTGAGGATTATCGTAACGGCTATTTCCTAGCTATGCTAATATGACTTCACTTGTGAGTTTCCATC